TAAACACACTCACTCGAAGGATTTCTCGTTCATTTCAATTATTCACAACTTGAGAATTAAGATCACCCGCGCTTACCAACCATGAAGTAAGTCTTTATTTAACAATTACAATCACTGGAAACAAAAATTCATTTGGGATTCAATCAGGAAGAATTGAAATGTAAATCAAAGAGCGATCAAAGAGTAGATTTGGCCTTGGAATGGCATATTACAAATTTAGAGACGGACAATTGTATGACTTTAATAAAATAAAAATAAAAGAAGATGTGATGGCAAGCCTTTTATGTGAGTTTAACCTTTTCATTAGGTCTCGATATTTTAAGTTGAGTGTTTCCACTTACAGATTTCGATGACAAGTAATTCATTCCATCGGCGATTTGCCAAGCAAACGTTATCAGCTGCTGCGACGTCAGATTTGTTTGTGGTTTAATATCCGGGTCATTGTAGTAGGTGTCGTTTAATCCACGGCTCTTTCTCAGGTAACCTAGCAGATCTCCGAAGGGAACATACTCGATCAGTACTAGGAGTGGCTCTGCAAAGAGAGAAAAGTGCTTCTAGAATATGAAGCAAAAAATTCTTACAAAATAAATTTCTAGCAAGAGGAAAAAAGGGGACCAGCTGCAGTAGGATCGTCCTCATTCACGTGGTGTCGCAAAGTTCAATAAAATCCACTCAACCAAAGCATACCAGATTCTGTGACACATCCAAGAAGTTTAATGACGTGAGGATGGGGTTTCAGCTGCTTCATCGTCTCAAGTTCTTTCATCAAATATCTTTTCTCCGATTCTGCAGCATTAACTGAAAAGTTTAAAGGAAAGAGCAAGAATTTATAAATGGTGATAGTGTACGAAGTGGGAACCGTGACGTAACGTTGCAAAATTAAATAAAGTAGCTGAGTCAACCAAAACAAAAACAAAAGGTTCACGCATATTGATCCCTAAGGTCCAAAAGTTATAAAATGATCTTACATTTGAGCATCTTAATAGCCACTGTAGTCGTTCCGGGCCTCCCTCGAAGTCCCACTGCAGTTCCCTTGGCAACTTGGCCAAAAGCACCTTTACCAATGATTTTTTCAATAGTCACGTGATCCCTCAGAACTTCCCAAGAGCGTGTGATTGGACGTAAAGGCGCGTAATCAGTACCTGGGCCTGCGTTTTGCATCTTAATGTGGCCTCTGCTGGCTTCTTTGAGATTCATGTACTCTACAGGAGGCTGGGTGAGTTTGGTTGAATCAGGGCGGCTTGGTTCGAACTCTCTTAATGTCACGTCATTCTATTAAGATTAAGGATTAATATCCGTATTAATCACGAATCACACCATTCTTTTTCTAAATCGCATCTTTTCCCAGCCAATGAGAAAGCCTTGCTAAAACACATCAATCAATCAGATTTCAAGGCTTGTTTAAAGTAGCCAATCAAATTGCAGGACGATGAAAAACAACTTTTGCAAGTTTTTTACGAACTTAGTACTGGATCATCAAAATATTTGTACAGAATAAAAATCCTGCATTAGAGCAACTGAATTTTGTTATTTCAAAATGGATGTAATTGAGTGGCAATTGAATTGTGTGTCGTGCAATCTGTATAGTTCGGGTGCAAAGTAAGATAATCAGCACAGGTATTTCTTCAAAAATTGACCAAACTGCACAAGTCCGTAAGGCGAGTGCAATTTGTTGTCTTTGAAAAATGTACGATCAAGTGCTGTTTTATCCTAAATTATAGGAGAAAACTTCATAAGGTTACTTGCCAATAATATACACACAAAAATTTGACTCTGTTTTTCTCTTAGCCGTGTGTATGGTTCAATGATGCAGCCGCTTGCCTTTGTATTGTTTCCGGAGTCATCAGCGCTTTCCCTCAAGAACTTGATTCAAGCTTTTAAACCTTCTGTCTGGAATAATTGAGTGTGTGCACTCTTTCTCAGTTACAATTCGCTTAGTAGCAGTAACCAGTACACGAAGACTATCACGCTCATAATTTATCCACGTCTTTCGTACGAATTGTTGCGGAAACATGTTCAGCGCATCCGGTTCTTACGTTTCAAGACTTTTTCCATTGTCATTTTTAGAAGCCCAAAACTTCCCAGGCAGTTGTTTGTGGTATGTTGAATGATTTTTTTTAATCAAAACCTTGTTACTTTGCCCTAGCCTGTCCGCCATTTTGTTTTGTTGTGCTTTGGCGACTCTCCTTTCTATAAATGTAACTTCGACTTCTTGCACTCAATTCTAACTCTATGCCTTGTACTTATGATGCACGATCCTCGCAGTAGAGTGAATATATGAACTTCATATATTCATTGTATCCATGCCTTGTATGGGATAAATTGACGTGTTCTCAACCAAGGCGTATGCTGAGGTTTTTGCATGCTTATTATTATTATTATGATGATTGGAAATCATACTTTTGATATCACAGCTAACTCGTACTGCGTAACTTGTACTGTAACTTGTGCATGCACCCTCGTTCGATTTTGAAATTTCACTCCACTTACTTCAATTAACGTTATAGTATGTGAGAAATCTCTACCAGACGAAAAAAATAAAGTTTGCATCTGAGTCATGATATCCATGAGTTCCATACATATGCCACTAATGACTACAGTGATTTCTCTATCAAATGTTTATGTTCTGCGAGCTGATTTAGATTGTAATTTTGCCGGACACATGTATTTGAAAAAAGGCTAACGAATACTCCAAATAGCACTCTTAATAACATATGAAGATACAGAGTCTCGTGAAAATGAAGACGGTCAAGATATTACAGAAGCAATTAATCGAAAAAAGTCGCACTGAAGGTAGACCCAGCGGCTCTTGATAAATTGCAGGAAAAGATTTGAACTCGTGTCAACCGAAAACAAGTTTAACCGGTAATTTGGTAAAAGACAAAGGAAAATCTTAATGACAAAATTCCTATTGGGTCAAACTGCATTCGCCTTACAATGAACCTTCCGCCCAGTTTGAACACACCTTTTTTTAAGTCAAAAAAATATTCTTTCTTTACTTTTTGATATATATAATGTGTTAACTTTCCTGATGGGAGCAATAATAGACTGAGATGAAAATTTTCTGTAATAAACACGAAAGTAAACTTGATCTGTCCGCCGTAACTTACATCATAAACACCCTCTTCATCTTCATAATTCCTATAACACAAAAATAAGTAAATACTCTTTCATAAGATTTTTTGGAATTTTTGAGCAACCCTCTTTTTTTAGGAGGTTTTTTACATGCATATGGAATAACAACTTAACAAAAAATGTCTTTATTGTTGTGACACCTTATCTTAAGTCAAAGTAGATTCTTACCTATTTTTTCCAACATCACCTGAAAAAAATGGTAAATGAATCGATAAAAATAAACATAACCAAAAAACGATATACAGAAGAATGCGAAAAGTCTCGAGTGGCATTTCGGTGAATCTCACCAGTACAGCATAGAAATAAAAAATTAACCTAAATAATGAATTTCCACTTACTTCTCCTGAGCAGCCACACTATGTAAATTATTATAAGAAGCACAACAAGAAACGCAAGGACTCCAATTATGGCTGCAAACATGACGTCTTTGCATGAACGGTTGCATTCTTCGGGGCCTAGATGTAAAATTATTTGTTACGTTTTGCTAAATAAACTAAGTTTTAAAAGCTTATCTAACACCTGCCAAACGTTTCCTCAAGAGATCATGTAAGGGGCTCTGTCTCGATATNAAATTTATATGGAACAGCAACCACAGAGAGGCCAGAGTAATACATTTCCTTTTCAATGAAAAAGGATTTTACACGCAAAGAAAAGCTAGAGAAGCATTATTGTTAGTCATTCTGTTGAGGGAAGGAAATATATCCTAAATTGCTTCCACAAAATGATATTAGGAGCACAGAAGTAGAATTACAGCTTTCAATCGCTTCTCTGACTTTTATAATAGTGAGGTCAATTTTATACCGTTGCCTTCAGTATTGTTAAAAACATTGCAATTTAAAGAAACCGGTAAATATTAAGAGGACTCTTCTGAGATTGAGGTTCTTTAAAATGTTATTTAAGTGAAACCCTTCCCCACTGAAAAGGAAATCACCAATGCCTTGCCTTCTGTTTGACAGTTGGTCACACTCCACCACTCACGCAATTAAGAATTCAGTGGAGCGTCCTGTCAGGTAACTAACCATAAGACTCAAAAAAAAAAAAAATTAAGTAAATTTCATTTGCAACAATAAAAAAATTGAAATAATAATATTTATGCAATAGAAAGCTGGGAAAAACCTTCTACTGATACAAGTAATGATATACAATACAAATGTTTACTTCTGTCTTGATGACATCCTCGGAGATCCAGGGACTGAGTCGATTTCAAGCTAGGGCAGAAGAGCCCCCAGGGGACATTGTCTTACAAGACTAGTTCCAAACGGTCGCAGTCGTTCTGGCACTTGATTGGCGCCAGAAAATCTTTGTGTTTTTCTCCCCAATCAGAGTGAAGTATGCTTTCGAGTCCTTTCGTGTGTTTTAACACGGACATATACAAGAAGCTCAGATGCTCGCCATGTTTGTTTGGACTGTGTGACGAAGCTCTGCTTGCGGTGAAAAGTTTCAGTCTCAGCACACGATGTAAAAGAAATCAATCAGTGTCCGCAAAAATATTACCGGAAATTATACTAAATACTTCCGTAGGTATCACAAGAGAACGTGTTTAAAGTTTGCGAGGTTCGTATAAAACAATGGTTGCAGGCGTGAATATGTTGCTTTAAACGTTAAACGAGATGTAAGCTTAAATCTTTCTAGATTTTTGTATAATTTGCTGTGACTGAAACTTTGCCAATCCCGTGAAGTTATTTCGTCGCACGGGCCACGCAGATATGTCGAGCAACTGGCGCTTACGCTTACGCAGCTTCACGCAGCTTCACGCAGCTTTCTCTATGCGCCAAAATCTAATCTTCGCTTGATAGAGTCTTTCACAATATGACCAAGGTTTCAGAGAATGTTAAGTTCGTGGACGACCTCTAGCAAGCGCTCAGAGAAAGCTTAGCTGTTTTTCCGGTTAGCAAATTAAAATCTGAACGAAAACTTATTATCGAGAACATCTTCGGAAGGAGAAGTGTTTTCGGACAGTTACCGACGGGATTTGGAAAGGGTTTGCATTTACAATAGTAAATGTCAGCTTAGCACGAGGTCATCTACCCCCATATAATAAAGAAAAGTTTCCACGCTTAGCTTTTAATTTTTTTTTCAACATAGGTTGTATTGCATCTGTGCATACCTTGACAAATGTTCCTTTAGTGGAAACCGGGAAACAGCAACAATTTGATTTTCTTGTTTGGGTACTCCGCCCACGGGAAATTTTTACCGATGCCTCTTTGTTGGTATCTCACACTACCAAGGATGGTGGCTTAGGCATTATTGGCAAGTTTTCAAATGGGATTCGAAAGCCCTTTCGTTGAAATTGAAGGTCGTTTGCTCGTCCTCTTGACTCGATGTTAGTGGAGAAAGGGGATACATCCTCTTAAGAGATGCTTCGGCAGGGATGACGGCTGAAGACTTAGACTAGGTTTACACTAGAGGAAATTGTTCCGGATTCGTGATGAATCCCAAACGTTTTAGTACCGGATTCATTCTGCCGTTTACACGAAAGTGGACGAATCCGAAATAAAACCTTCCCGGTTTGGTCGTGTCTCCGGAGATTTTGAATCCGGAATTTAAAGTGGGCATATTACAAATTTAGAGACGGACAATTGTATGACTTTAATAAAATAAAAATAAAAGAAGATGTGATGGCAAGCCTTTTATGTGAGTTTAACCTTTTCATTAGGTCTCGAGTGGCATTTCGGTGAATCTCACCCGTACAGCATAGAAATAAAAAATTAACCTAAATAATGAATTTCCACTTACTTCTCCTGAACAGCCACACTATGTAAATTAGTATAAGAAGCACAAAAAGAAACGCAAGGACTCCAATTATGGCTGCAAACATGACGTCTTTGCATGAACGGTTGCATTCTTCAGGGCCTAGATGTAAAATTATTTGTTACGTTTTGCTAAATAAACTAAGTTTTAAAAGCTTATCTAACACCTGCCAAACGTTTCCTCAAGAGATCATGTAAGGGGCTCTGAAATGCCGAAAGAAAAGTCATAAAATTTTGGAACCAAAGAGTTGCTTTAAAAAAAGGCTCAAAGTCAACTACTTTCACACTTCTGAAAAAACTTAAGCTTAGCCCTTAGACAATTCAAAATGGTTGAATAGTAAGGACATTACTTTAAAGAACTCTAAACTTCGTCATAGAGGGTGTGTCGCCACATACCTTGTGCGGTGGGGGAGGAAATTTGTTTGATAGACCCTGGATCGACTCTAAAGACTCCGAATTTGTCCTGCAGAGCAGCATCTCTCAAGGAGGTCAAAACCTCATTAACCGCTACCCTTTGGTTGAAATACATTATGAAATCGACGAGAACACTGCCACACCTATAGATTTTAAATAGAAATACAAAAAAAATTTTCTTAAACTCACAAAAAAATTATTAAAACCATACTGAGGCAGATTACAACCTTGGGGTATAGGAGGTAACCAAACACGGTGCATCTTAGACCCCTCCCCTCCCCTCCCCCCAATCCCTCACCAGCATATATCACAACTACATGTACCTCACCAAAGAGCCGTAATTAAATCTACACGTTTTATTCGATGATTGACAACTTGCCTGAGGTTGTGACGTTATTTGAAATTGCTGTCTGTCTGACAGAACCAATTGATTTTTGGTTTTTTTGTTTGTTTTTTGCTGCACTCTCCTCAATTTATAAATATTAATGCAGTTAAGTAGTAAACTGCATAAAGTTTCTTCGATCGCAACAACTTTTAATGTTCTGAAAATATGGGAATGAATTATTAGTGTCCCTTCAGGGTTTAAAGGTTCATTTGCCCCCTCCTACCCAAATCCTCGATGCCCCCCCATTCTGTACAATTCAAAGAAAAATTCAAGCGACACGACACCTACTTTCCACAGTAAGGGCAGCTAAACAGCCGTGATTGACGACCAGATCACATGCCTAAAAGGTAAACGTGCGTCATTATCCATTTTATCAAGTAAAAGTGACAGCAGAAAAAGATAATTGTTCAGTTTTTATTTTATGCCTTTTTTTCTGTAGCTTCCGAGGTCCCTATCATCCACAACTTCCAAACAATTCTTTTTCCTATCATTCACGCATTTGACAATTCATCCATCCGCTTATTCATCGAAGCATTTTCCAATTCCCTTCCTATTTTTATTTAAAATTATTTGTATTTATTTATTTCTCTTCTCCACGTGGTAGTAAGTTAAGTTACATAATAAACAAGGTAATAACTACTTGGCAATTCTAATTCTGTACTAATAATAGTGAAAAGAGGAGCACATCTAGATACCTAGTATAGCGCCCTTAAGTTGGTATGAAAAGTTATTTACTAAACTGGACTTATTTAAAACGACTTAAATCAAATAGGAAAAGAGAAGATGAAATAAATGAATGATCAAAACTGATTTTAAATGTGAAAGTGTTTTTTAATAAACATTTGTTTAGTTGGTTTTTCTCTAATAGGTCGAGGAGTGTTGTTCCATATATACCTACCTATAATTGTCGGACTGAATTTTCTGAAATTTGTTCGAGAAGAAGGAATTTACAGAAGGTTGTAGGATACACTTCGAGCGTGATAGTCATGCAGCTCAGACACTAACAAGATATTTAAATTTATATGTTTGTCAGCATTAAAATAGTCATAGTGGAGTAAAGATGTTTTGAGTTTTACAATGTCAGGAACGTTCAAAAATCCCAAAGCGGTATAATAAAAAGTAATTGGTTCCTTAAGTTACATATTTTCATTACCAATAAACCCACAACTGTTTCACTTTCTTTCACATGCAACCGTAAGTCGAATGAAAATCTCACCACATTTGGAAACCTCGCTGCAACTTGAAGACGTCTGCTACAGCTCTCATTTACGGTCGCTGTCAAGCGAAATTCTGTGTTTCCTACCGTTTTAAAAGAGATGTAAGAATCTTTCTAACTAATAAAAACTAGTAAAATGAGTACTTTTATCATAATTTCACATTTACATGTATCACATTGTAGGAAAGATGATTTTTACGGACAACAAATGCGAATAATTTACAGCGAGCAATACTCATACCTACTGCCTCCTTTTGTACCTTGATGAATCCAACAATGGGAAGAAATTGAAATTGCTTACCCGCAAACTTTGCCAATATTTTGTTTGCACCAGCATATCCTTCAAACACACGATTTCTTGCAAAGACTTTCACAATGTAGGCTGTATCTCTCTCCAGACCAACAAAAGTGTAATTTTTTGTACCAGGATCAGTAATATTAATACTTTTTATCTCAATGTCGCTCTTCAGTATGATCGCTCGGTATGCTGTGATAGGACTCCCTCCATCATTAGTTGGTGCAGTCCACCTAACTGTTACTAAACTGGCTTGAGTCTCCACTGTAATGGATGGGATGCCTGGTGTCTCTATGAAGAAAAAGTCCAAGAAGAAACTAACAGTTGTATAAAACTCCAATCCAAGTGGTCTTTCTTTTTCTTTTTGTTTTTTTATTTTGTCAGGTCTTTTGAGAAAATTAGCCAGGCTATAAAAATCGTAACACCATTATGGTCTCAATGTGCCAATGAAGGAGCAGTAGCCCTTATCGCATTTGAGTCTGCAATGCAAAGGGTCCGCGGAGTTACAGTTTCAGGACGAGGCTATCGGGTCAACGTTTCTCGAGTAACACCAGAAACACTCCATGTCTGAACATATAACTCTGAAATCTGCGTTTTTTTCTGCCCAGAATAAAGGTTGAAATTCTTAGTGGTAATTTTCCTGGCATCACGAAAGGAAGATTGAAAGAATGGCTGTCATTTCGGAAAGGAACGGCAAAATTTTGTCGCATTTGTTCATGACTACGGTTGTTGTTCCTTTGTCGGCCTTTTTGAGGTTTAACTAAGAGTCACGTTTCAAGGCCCTCAGCGCCATGCGTTCGGCCAGAAACAAATTATCTTTTGGCTTTGTAATTTCTATTTCTGAAAGGTCACTTTTAACCTCTTCTACACAGCTCTCAAGGGTTACTGATTTTTGTATTGGCGGTATCCATGTAGATTTGACGTGGTGGGGATGGGTTTTTTTTCCACCCCTTGGAATATGTAAATCAGACACATTCTCCTTGCGAACTGATCAAAGTCACACAATAGTTGTTGTCTGACCTGTTTTTGTTTTGTAGCGGGTATTGGAATGAATTTAAGCCCTTTTGCCAGTAAATTAATCTGGTCGTTTGTAAGTTCTTTATATGAGAGGTTTTTTATGTGCGTTTTGTTCGCCTCTATTTTGATAGTTGAACGTGTTTGGCGTCTGACGTTTCTGCGCTCCCTGCGCTTGTTAGTTGCTAGCCGCTTGGCTTTTTAAATTCGTTTTTTGGCGCCATGGTTGTATTGGGAGTCAGAGAATACACGTGTATACTTTTCAAATTCTTTATTCTCCATTATTCCTAGTCTTTTCATCATACTGCCGAACTGAGCGATTTGTTCCTGGCGATTAACAGCTATTTTTTTTACTGTCTCGATCGTTACATTGTCTTGACTGCTTTCAGCTTGCGCCACACGCGCTGATTCGATCGTACTACAGTTTCTTAGTGTTCAGTGTTCCAGCCATTTTGGCTCGTTTTCTTTTCTTTATTTCACGTTCATGGAAGCACATGATCGCCTTTATTTTTTCTTGCTCCGCGTTGTTAGGGATTTCCTTTATCTCTTTTTTGAAATCCTCGTCCGCTCTTATTTTGGTCCCCGCCCTGTATTTCATAATTATGGATTCTAGGCAAGTTACTTTTTCTTTGTGCCTTTGTAGCGCCTTGATCGCGTTTTCGGCCTGGCTGATCTTGTCCTCCGCAGATAGGTTTTGGCTTGTTTTTCTTCTTTCCGTGGATGGGCTGTTGCGGCGATGTTTCTTGTACTGCTCTGTCCTTGGTCGGCTGGTGCTGTTTCGGCTTTGACGTCGTTGTTTAGGTCTTTTCCCGTTAGGCATTTGGTACGGAGGGATTTGTTCGTCATCCTTGGACTTAACTGAGTAGATCATTTTCGCCGGCGGTGTCATATGCGGCTTCCATGTTTTCTTCGTTCTCAATGGCATTGCTTTGGCCCGGGGCGTTTAGTAACCCATCTGCCGTTAGAATGTCTTCCGACATTTTCTGTAGGTGGTCAGGCAAGACCGCGGTTTCGATCCTAATCTTGTGGATCTCGTCACTTGCCGATTCACTTGAATAGACTGTTGCACCCGTACGCAATGCAATGTCTAACCATGACGAGAACACGCTGTATCCTTAAGAAAATGAATAAAAATACCTCCAAACGTAGCCTTTTGCTTCGATTTACTTGAAAGTTTTACCTGTGTGACCCAATAGCCTCGTTTCGAAACTTCAAAGTCCGCTGGGCTCTCGTACAGTGGGCGTAAATGCGATAAGGGCTGTTGCTTTGAGTTTTGGAAACAAATATATTGATTCCTCTGAGATGTAAGCTGATACCATAACCGATAGAATAATGAATGAGCGATTAAAGAAAATGCATGTACTGTGTACATATGGTGGTGGTAAAAAGTGTTGCATAATCAGCAATTGATTTGCCTCAGTGGCATCTGGATCTACTCTAGCCTTTTTTGGGGGAGGCATTTTCACTTTGTCGATCGAACGACGAAACAACACTGGGCTTGGTAACCATTCCATTTCGAATGTTCCCGGAGTTGTCGTTGTGTGTAAACGGTCAGGAATCCGAATATCCTTTCAGTGTAAACGCCTACGAATCCGAACACTCCAAAATTGATGAATCCGGAAACATTTACGAATCCGGAAAACTCTCCTATAGTGTAAACCTAGTCTTAAGCTTACATTTACGTTTCCATGATGTTTCAATTCTGTTGCGACTAGTGTCGCGAACTGCACGCGGAAGACCATCATCTGGTAGAACCTTTTGATTGAAAACTTCAAATATTCTCATAAACTCGCCATTAAGATTTCTTTTTTTCTTGATGGTCACGGTGATAAAAACGGAAGAGCATACTCGACAACGATCTGAAACATTTTCACCCGGATTATTCATTATCGTTAGAAAAACCTTGAACCTTACCTAAACTACTAGCCGAAGATCAGATTTTGGCGTGCACAGAAAGCTGCGTAAGCGCCAGTTGCTCGACATACCTGCGTGGCCCGTGCGACGAAATAACTTCACGGGATTGGCAAAGTTTCAATCAAAGCAAATTATACAAAAATGTAGAAAGATTAAGCTTACATCTCGTTTAACGTTTAAAGCAACATATTCACGCCTGCAACCATTATGTTTTAGACGAACCTCGCAAACTCTTAAACACGTTCTCTTGTGATACTTGCGAAATTATTCAATATAATTTCCAGTTAGATTTTCGCGGACAATCTGATTTCTTTTACATTGTGTGCTGAGACTGAAACTTTTCACCTCAAGCAGAGCTTCGTCAAACGGCCCAAACAAGCATGGCGAGCAACTGAGCTTATTGTATATGTCCGTGTTAAAACACACGAAAGGACTCTAAAGCACACTTCACTCTGATTGGGCAGAAAAACACAAAGATTTTCTGGCACCAATCAGATGCCGGAACGACTGCGACCGTTTGGAACTAGTCTTGTAAGACAATGTCCCCAGTGGCTCTTCCGCCCTAGCTTGAAATCGACTCACAGCCCCTGGGTCTCCGAGGATGTCGTTATGATAGTTCTCACCACAGGGACATTTAACGGAAAGTACCGAGGGAAGTTTGACCAGTATATTACTTTTTCATCCTCTCGTGACGATGGGATGTTAAAATTATATAACGTGAATATACTTTTGTACATCTGTTCCACAAATTTGTTAGTTGGGGTAAAAAAATAGGCATGAACTGCAACTTTTATTTTCACTTTCTCCGATTGGCAGATCTTGAATTTTAAGTTAGTTTCAGAAATAACTATTTGTTAAGTAACGTAGCAAGCTGTTTTATCAGTTGCTTAACCCGAGTAAAAAAGAATACTATACATTTTTCTTAGCCTTATTACTTAAGACACAGAAGAAAATGTATAGCTGTAATCATGGTAACATAGTCACTAAATGAAATAATAGGGAGCTTTAGCAACGACGACGGCGACGGCAACGAGAACGGCAGAAAACAATAGACTTAATGAGCAAAAACAATCGCCCTGCACGTGCGTTTAACATTTTGGTACATTTCTTTGCCTTTCTCGGCAAAACAACAACGTGAAATAACCAAACTTTAGGTTTTCTCGAGGACGTGAGCGTATGAAGCTTAATTTTTCTTTCTTTCTCCTTACTTTAACGCCATTCGTAGTGATATAGTCCCTGAATAGTTCGCCAGCATTTTCCAAGTGAAAAACATCGGAATAACCTCGAAAGAGTTACAAAAACGAAAAGTTAGATTTCGACACGACGTTTTCGTTGCCGTCGCCGTCGTCGTTGCTAAAGCTTCCTATTGACTTCCAATAGGACATGATCGATAAAGGACTCACATTGCACTGTGACATAAGCTTTTGCTGTCTTTGGCTGTCCGACTCCATTGCTTGCAGTGCACACATATTCCCCTGCATCACTCCTGCGACTCCCTAGAATCTCCAGATGTTTGTTGTGAGACAAAACCTTCCCAGCTTTAGTCCAAATTATGGAGGGTGAAGGAAAGCCAGAAGCATCGCAGCTCATAGAAATGGGATTCGTCCGATTTTCTGTGACATTTTGTGGAAGAACCATGAACTGGACAGGAACTGCTCGGATTAAAAGGTTATAACGATAATTGCAAAAGTCTGCACTATTAATTCATTCTTTGTGCTGTACGCAAAATCAAACGGTGAATTCAAATGCTTCCAATCACTTTTAATTCTAAAACTTCATGAACAATTGAGGATTAGGTCCAGTTCTTACAATTTAGCTGTTACGTTGCTGTAGTTTGATTTAACCGGCAGAAAAAACTACCACCTTACAAACTCAACTACCACAAAGTATTAAATGATGTGTAATATTCGTCTCTCTCCATAACAATGTTCGTTTAAAACTCAATTTACCAGTATTTTAAAAGGTCAGATAAGATCTCCAACTGACTAAAAAGTAGAGTCAGTGTGGTTGCCTTGCAATTTAAGGAAGGGCTTTATCCCTTTCTTTAATCGCCGGTGAAATTTTGCTTTCATCATAAAGTTCTTTATAAATGAAAAGTATTCAAAAGAATTAAAAACTTTGCGTTCGAGGAAATTCAAACTTTAATGTCTTTGAATCAGTAAATATAATCAGACCTCAAACGTTTCGTATCTAAGTCTGAGCAACTAAGTAGTACGTTAATGGTGCATTGTAGTTACCTTCTACATTAAGTACCAGAGAGGCTTCGGGTCCATATCCAGCACTATTGCTTGGCACGCATTTGTACTTGCCGTGGTGAAGTGATCGATTTACACTGCTGATGGTGTATTGATTGTAATAAGATG